GGGAGGGGGCGGGAAGTGGAAGCGCGCCGGCAGCCACTGCTACTCAGGCGGCCGCGGAGGGGCCATGGCCTGGCGGCAGTGCCGCCGCTCCGCCCCCCGTCCCGCCGCCCGGCTCCGCCAGGGGGAGCTCAGCCGGCCCCGCTTCCTCTTCCTGCAGCGCTGGCGCCGCGAGGGGCGGGCGGAGGTGGGGTATCTCTGTCCCGGTTCCCGTCCCGGAGCCGGCAGGGAGAAGTGCGGGTTGTCTGGGGGACGCGGAGGGCTGGGGGCCGAGGTAGGCGCCGCCATCTTAGCAGCTGGGCAGTGAGAGGCGGCCCTTGGGGGGTGCACGGATCCCCCTCGTTTCACCTCTACAAAGTTCTGAAATTTTGAGCATGCCTGTTCCTGACGTGTATGTGTGCGCGTTTATTTATGAAGGAGGTATACGCGTCGTAGACGTGCATCTTGGGACTTGTGTTTTTTTTTTTTTTTTTTTTTTTTGAAGGCAGAAGCGCAGTGCAGCACCCGTGCTGTACAGCAGCGCTTTCTCACGAAAATATGTGTGTAGGAGGGCGGCTGGGGAGCAGACGGTAATTTACTGGTGTAAACACATAGCAGAAAAGGGATAGGACTCGGGAATGAACGCACACCTCCACCACTCCCTTTCCTGTCCACAGGAAATTCGAGCCTGCCCTCCCAGCAGCGATTGCCTGCTTGCACTGCAGGCTTGAGCAAGGCATCCATATCTTGGTGACAAATCTCCCAAGGTTAGCGTTTAGAGCTACCTACAGTGTGAAACCAATGGTGAGATGAAGCAAGTGTGACTCCTGTGTCTCACTGAAATAACTATGCTCCAATGTCATGTGTTTAGCCTCTGTTCTATGTGTAGAAGTTATGCTACTGTAAAATACTGTTAATAATATGTAATTTTAGTAGATTTGGTGAGCTTTCATGGCTTTCTTGCTAAAATGCTAATAAATGTTTGTACCTCACAGTGATGTCAGTAAATGGGACGGGGAGCAGATTTACAGAATGAGCCTGAAAAAGCTGTTTAAGCAATTAACTAGGAAAGAGATGATCGAGGAGGAATATGTGCAGTAACCTACCATCATGGTGACTCAGATGTTGTTAGAAGTGAAATAAAAGCACTCTTGTCACAGTTATTGCTTTTTGTGTGTGTGTTGCCATTTTAGATTGTTTGCTCCCCTCATGACTTTTTTTTTATCAGCTTTAGTGACTTGTCCAGCAGCCCGTAAATCCCCTGATAAACTGTTGAGGTGCATGCACCAATTGACTATGTTGCAGACATGATCAAACTTGTCTCTGGAACAGGCTGGATTGGTATGATTGTATCGTGCAAGTAACATTTGTCTACATGGGGAACAGACTCACGTCCTGATTACATTGAATTCTTGTTACTTCTTGATTTTTCAATATATTTTTCTCTAGAAAGATCTAAAGATGTATGGGTTAGAAATGGAAAGGTTTATCACAAAATCTAATTAATATCTGCTTCATCCAGAAATGGGATTTTTCAGAGCTCCTAGTTTCTTGGGGATTATAGGCAGGTTTACTTGTAGTCTCTGGATAATTAAGAACTAGCACCTGCTTATACTCAGATGGTTTTTTTGTTTGTTTGTTTTGTTTTTTTTTGTTTTGGTTTTTTTTTTTTTTTTTTTAGTTTTGCCTGTATGAAAGGCACTGTTAGTGCCAATCTTTATCGCCATGTCACATGGAGTTCTCTGCAGGAGGGTTAGAACTAGATGATCTTTAAAGTCCCTTCCAACCCGATGCCATTCCATGATTCTGTGGCGTTGCATCATAGAATATCCCCCTTAGAAGAGATCCACGAGGATCACTGAGTCCAACTCCTGATTCTACACAGAACAATGCCAAAATCAAGCTGGATGTCTGACAGTGTTCAAATGCTTCTCAAACTCTGTGAGCTTGGGACCATGACTACACCATAAGGGGTCTGTTCCATACCCACCACCCAGTGGCAAAATACCTTTTCCTATTACCTAACCTGGCCCTCATGACACATGAACACATTTGTACCTGTTCCTGACAACTTAACGAAAAGTACACCACTAGTGTATGGGCAGCTACTGTTACTATCTTAGGTACTCAGTGTGCAATCTATCGGCTTTTGGAAAATTAAGAATGAGTTTCACAGAATCACAGAATGGCCTGGATTGGAAGAGACCTCAAGGATCATGAATCTCTAACCCCCCTGCCACATGCAGGGACACCAACCTCCACATTTAATACTGGACCAGGCTGCCCAGGGCCTCATCCAATTTGGTCTTGAACACTTCCAGGGACTGAGCACCCACAACGTCTCTGGGCACCTGTTCCAGCACCTCACCACTGTCTCTGTAAAGAGCTTCCCTCTGACATCCAACCTAAATCTTCCCTCCCTCAACTTTAAAACCATTTCCCCTCGTCCTGCTTTTCTCTACCATTTCAAAGAGTTGATTCCCCTCCTGTTTGTAGGCTCCCTTTAGGTATTGAAAGGCTGCAATGAGGTCACCATGCAGCCTTCTTTTCTCCAGGCTGAAAAAGCCCAGCTCCCTCAGCCTATCCTCAGAGGGGAGGTGCTCCAGTCCCTTGGTCATCTTCGTGGCTCTCTTCTGGATTCTCTCCAACAGCTCTCTGTCTTTATTTTATTGGGGCTCCAGACCTGGACACAGTACTCCAGATGTGGCCTCACAAGGGTGGAGTAGAGAGGGACAATCACCTCCCTGTCCCTGCTGGCCACCCCTCTTCTGATGGAGCCCAGGATACAATTTGCCTTCCGAGCTGCAACGGCACATTGCTGTCTCATGTTAAGTTTTTCATTTATCAAGACCTCCAGGTCCTTCTCTGCAGGACTGCTCTCAAGGACTGCTCCTTCCAGTCTGCATGGATGCCTGGGATTCCTCTGGCCCAAGTGCAAAACTCTGCACTTTGCCATGTTGAACCCCATCAGGTTCACCTGGGCCCACCTTCCCAGCATGTCAAAGTCCCTCTGAATGACACCCCTTCCTTCCACCATGTCAACCGCTCCACTCAGTTTGGCGTCATCAGCAAACTTGCTGAAGATGCACTTGATTCCATCATTGATGTCACTGATGAAGGTGTTAAAGAGCACCGGTCCCAAGACAGACCCCTGGGGGATGCTGCTCATTACCAGCCTTCACCTGGACATATAGCCATTGATAGCCACACTCTGTCTGCGGCCTTTCAACCAGTTTCTTATCCATTGAGTGGTCCACCCATCAAATCCACATCCCTCCAGTTTGGAGATAAGGATGTGGTGGGGGACCATGTCAAAGGCCTTGCTCAAGTCCAGGTAAATGACATCAGTCGCCTTCCCTTTGTTCACCAATGCCATCTCTCCATCTCTTTTCTGAGGTTTTTAGAGATTAGGTCAGGTTGAAAACAGGCTCCTAACATTTAGACATCTCTCAGATAAGTGAAGAATGGATCTCCTTAACCCTTAAGACTGAGATTCAGGACAATACATAGAGTCAATCAGAGACAAAAATGGGACTGAATGAAGAAAATGATGTGTGTACATCTAACTGCTGTTCTCAATGCCTAGTTACAGTCTTCAGTGTGGTATTAGATACAATTCTGTACTTAAAACCTTTTTTGTTGGATTTGGGCTCACATGTTATGCACTGGGGAAAGAGAACTACATCAATGCTTTTTGGAAAGATGTCTAAGTGTGTGGTGGTACTTCAGATGGTGGTTGAGGTCTCCGGTAATAGTAACTGACTTTCTGTTAGTTTCATAGACCTCTCTTGAGGGTATACATCAGGCAAATGATAGTTTCTGTCTTTTATATTTTAGTAGTTTGATTCTTCTATAACTTTGTGTGTGTGTGTGTGTGTGGATGAGAATTAAAAGCACAGAGGAAAGCATTCCAATTACAGTTGTTTGTAAGGTTCATTTCCTTTCTGAAATTGATGTAGAAATATGTATCTTGAAAATAATGAGTTCTCTCTTTTGTGAAAGTGGAATCATCATTATCAAAATGTCAGTGTTGTGAAGATCAGATAGGATTTTAAGAAAGCAGAAATTTTGCTGTTACTTCTTTTTCTTTTCTAATTGACACAGTCTTAATTAGCCGTATGTTGGGTTTGAGGACTGAGTATAACCTGTGCACTCCCAAATAGAACAGTTTTTAAAGATTTACTCAACAAACACATCTGAATGTTGAAGGAAAAAGAACACTTGAGTTGCATCCATCACAGGCATTGTTCATCTGTCAGAAAAGCCTTGGTTAGAAGAGAAAATCTAGAACTGGGTAAGACTGTGTTCTGTCTCAATAGTCCACGTCTAATGTTTGAAAGAAATTACATTTCATGGAAGGTCAACACTTGCAGATTGTTTTAAATCTCAGGATAATATGGGTGGAGTACAGAAAAATGCTCAAACCTGAGTTAGCTGCAGTAGAGCTGCTTGTTCTTCTTATTGTTGTGGAACAGAATTAAGAACTATGTTTAAGATAGGCAGTAGGTCATATGCTAAGCAAGAAGTAAATCTTTGTGACCAGATGAATGGACATGAGATGTTTAGTCCTAATGTCTGGGTATCTTACCTAAAATTTAGTGAGCTCATACGGCTTAGAATTCAGGCAGGTTTGTTAAGGACAGACAGAAGTGTGCATTCATTATCATAGCCCTCTGCCGAATTTTGGGTTCCAGCTCTCTTAAAATTGTCCAATGTGGCAACAGTAGGAGTTCCTTTTTTTTTTTTTTTAAGAAGAGCGCAAGGTATTGGTATTTTCCTCTGACCTAATTAAGAAAAAAAGCCAGCTTATTTTTTTTTTTTTTAAAGGGGAAACTTCACATTGTGTCATACTTTCAATATGTGGGGTTTTTTTGTTTGTTTGTTTGGTTGGTTGGTTGCTTGGTTGTTTTTTTTTTTTTTGTTAAAATATCTAAGTTTAAGCAATGGAAGAATGATGATAGAAAGAAGTGGTGGAAGGTGTTGGATGTTCTCAACAATTACTATCTACAATATCTACAAGAATAATGCTTGCTTCGGTAGCACATATACTGAAATTGTAATGATAGAAGATTAGCATGGCCCCTGCACAAGGATGACATGCAAATTCGTGAAGCGTTCCATATTTTTTTTTTTTGAGGTTCAACAAGGCCAAGTGTTGGGTCCTGCACTTTGACCACAACAACAACATGCAGCATTGTAGGCTTGGGGACAAGTGGCTGGATGACTGTGAAGGGGAATGGGACCAGGGGGTGTTGGCTGAACGTGAGCCAACAGTGTGCCCAGGTGGCCAAGAGGGCCAACGGCATCCTGGCCTGCATTAGAAATGGTGTGGCCAGCAGGAGCAGAGAGGTGATCATCCCCCTGTACTCAGCACTGGTGAGGCCGCACCTCGAGGACTGTTCAGTTCTGGGCTCCTCACTACAAGAAAGACATTGAGGCCCTGGAGCGTCTCCAGAGAAGGGCAAAGAAGCTGGTGAGGGATCTGGAACACAGATGTTATGAGGAGTGGCTGAGGGAGCTGGGATTGTTTAGTCTGGAGAAGAGGAGGCTCAGGGGAGACCTCATTGCACTCTACAGCTTCCTGAAGGAAGGTTATGATGAGGAGGGATTTGGCTTCTTCTCCCAGGCAACAAACTGGACCCGGGGAAATGGCCACAAGTTGCACCAGAGGGGGTTTAGGTTAGACATGAGGAAAAACTTTTCCTCTCAGAGAGTGGTCAGGCACTGGAATGGCCTGCCAAGGGAGGTGGTGGAGTCACCATCCCTGACAGTGTTCAAGAGGCATCTGGATGAGGAGCTACGAGATATGGTTTAGTGCTTGTGGTAGCAATGGTAATGAGGACTAGATGATGTTACAGGTTGTTTTCAACCTTGTGATTCTATGATTCTATGATAAGAATCCCTTCTAGCTGTAAATGCAGGGATAGTTTATATTTTTTACAGGCTGATTATTATTTTTTTGGTGTAATATTGTCTTGTAAATGCGAGTTTTTGTCATTTCACCTCATAGAAATCATGTGTGATTAAAGTCCATCACACGAGATGTAGATCTGACCGTGAATCATTTGCCTTGTCTCATTTGTGTGTTGGAAAGTGGATGCGTACTGTATTTAGGAAAACTTCAGGAATTAAAAGGAGAGGATTTAGCCTGGGTTACTGAATGACAAGAGCTTGTAGATGAGCTGTAGTGTCCTTTGCCATGCAGATTATAGGCCAGAGCAGGTCCCTGGCAGCCAGTAGCATGGGACACACAAAAAAACGCATCGAAACATAACATGATTTGGGTTGCAAGGAACCTTAAAAAATCCTCGAGTTCTGTCTCCCTGCCATGTGCAGACTTTCCCCCCTCCAGATTGGGCTTCCCAGGGCCCATCAAATTTGGCCAATGTCTCCAGGGATGAGGAATCCACAGCTTCTCTGGGCAATCTATTTCAGTGCCTCATCACCCTTTGAGTAAAAAAATTCCACCTAATGTTTTATCTAAATCTCCCCTCTTTTAGTTTAAGACTATTTTCGCTTGTCCTACCACTACCAGACTGTGTAAATGGTCAGGGTCCCTCTTGTTAATAAGCTTCCTTTAATGACTGAAAGGCTGTAATGGCATCTCCCAGGAACCTTTTCTTCTCTAAGCTGAACAACCTCAGTTTGTCAGCCTGTATTTGTAGGAGAGATTCTCCAACCCTTTAATAATCTTCATGTCCCTGTCTGTACCCGCTCCAGCAGTTCCACATCTTTCTTGCACTGGGAACCTAGGCTTGGAGGAGTCCTCACGAGTGCATACTAGAGGGATACAATCACTTCACTTTCTCTGCAGACCACCTCTTTTTTCATGCAGCCCAGGACGATATTGGCTTTCCAGGCTGCAAGAACACACTGCTTGCTCATGTCCAGTTTTTTGTCCACCAGGACCTTCAAGTCCTTTTCCACAGGGCTGCTTTCAATGTATATCTGGGACTACACCAACACAAGTGCAATGCCTTGCACTTGGGCTTGTTGATCTGCATTAGGTTCATGTGAGCCAACTTCTCAAGCTTGTCCCCTTGCCATCTCTTTGGATGGCATCTCCTTCTTCCAATGTATCAGCTGTGCCACTCAGGTTAGTGCCAGCAAGTGTGCTGAGAGTATGCTTGGTCTCACTGTCTAATTCATTGGTAAAGACATTAAAGAGCACTGATACTAACGTGGACCCTTGGGGGACACATCTCATCAGTGGTCTTTACCTGGGCATGTTGACCTACATTTTCACCTACAAATGTTTTCCACAACCCTCTGGCTGTGACCATCCAACCTTCTTGCTCCTCTGAGAGTACTATGCAACTTCTCCGGGCAATCTGTTACATTTCTTGGTTAGTTCTGCTGTTGAAAAGTGTTTCATGATATTCAGATGGAACCTGGACCTCCTCCTATGTTTCTGTTTATTCCCATTGCCTCTTATTCTGTCACTGGGCACCACTAAGACTATTCTTTTTGTATTTTGGCAACTTTTGCAATGCAGCACAGAGATGTCTTCTGCTGAATACTTCATGATAGCACCCCCAGTGTGCTTCATATTTTCTCTTTTTACTTTCTGCAAAGACTTCCCCACTCTACATAAAATCTTCTGAAAGGCTGTGAATTTATTCAAATTCCCTGAATTGAGGTATGCCTTTCATTCGTAAAGAAAAGTATGCTTTAAGAAATAAAAAAGCTTTGCAGAATAAATGCATAAGCGCAAGTATATGCAAGGAACTATGTTCACTTTGGTAAAAGGAAAAAAAAGTTCTCTTATATGAATGTTACAGGAGCTCAGGTAGTCTCATTTGTTCTTGAAGTGTATTCTGCCTCTTAATCTGCAGCATGTTAGATCTCAAAGCTTTTCAGCAGCTTAAACCACCCAGAGAGTAAGGAAAGAGTTGTAATGTATCCACTGTACACTAAGGGTTATATAAAGGTGAGAAATGACCTAGATAGAGTCCCACAACTAAATTAAAAGTTTCCCAGTAGCTGGGATGGCTGACTGGCTAAGTGTTGAGGGAAAAAGGATGCTAAAGAATTAGCATGCATGGGATGAAAGTCTCATGGCAATAGACTGGCTGATCTTCATTTAAGAAGTCTGAAAGACATGGTACAAATTTCCAATAGCAGATGATTTAGAGAAAGGCAGAAGTGTTATCAGGTAACTATAAAATAAAGAAGGTATTTTTGAAAGGTGCAAAGTAATCCAGATACTAAAATACATGGTCTGCTCTCAGAGAGTTTTAAAGCAAGGCTTTAAAACAAAGCTTGTAGGAGGGCATAATAAAGAGCATGGAGGTACGTAGGATAAAATGTCACATCTTTTTTAATCAAGGGTGTATTATCTCAGATTAACAGAATACCATTTTTGATAAATTCTGTGATATTTTTAGGCATGAGGAATGGAATAGAACTATTCTATCTTGGTTATATTTGATTTATTGCCTTGTGGGAAATTATTAATTAAGCTGAGAATGATAAGAATCATTAAAAGAACTGAAAGTAGGTAAGGAGACTATAGGAACAATCAGAGGACAGTGGGGACTATAAAATGGGGAGTACTGGAATGGAAAGAAGTTACTAATAGATTTTTTTAAGATTGAATTTTGAGATCAACCTTGTTAATCTTAATAATTTCATTAGTGATGTTGACAAAAGAATTAGAAGAGTGACATACTTTCTGGTGACACAAGTTTAGACAGCAGAGTTAATGAAGGGGAGGATGAGAATATCAAATGGGAAAAATTAGATGACTCCAAGGACAAGAGAAATGGAAGTGACTAATATTTAAAATATTAGAGTACAACTTCATGAATTGACTTGAGGACTCATAGCATCTAGTTATCATGTAAGAGACATACTAAGAAAAGATGAAGAGTACAACTCGTGCATTTTAACACATTTTAGGAGGACTATGAGTACTGTAAGTAATGTGTGTAGAAAAAAAACATATATATATCTTGTATAATATACCCGATAAAGCTATACGAGGTTATACGAGACCTCATTTCAAAGCCTCTACAGTACTGGTTGTCTGCATTCCAAGAAAAATGCATTATGGCCAAAGCAGTTGAAGAGAAAAGCTACTAAGATGGCCAAGATAAGAGAGGGCTTACCACGGAAGGGGAAATAAAACAACTTGGCATGCTTAACCGTGCAAAACAGAGAGGATATATGTTGCCTCTTTTGAAAGAGATTGGAAAGATAAACATATTGGGAAGGTAAACAGCACTGATGGAAAAATGATGTTCAGGCAACAGGAAACTTTCTTTGGCACAAGAATGCTGTTAATGCTTCTAAATTAGAAAGCTGAAACAGCTTTGTAGCCATCAGGGCCAAAGTTGCTATTCTGTCTGGTGCCTGCTCAGTGAAATCATTTACTTGACATAACTACCTGTGAGAGCAGCAAGCAGTATTCATTGCCTAGGGAGGTCTTTTTCAATCTTATGTTGGCCAAATTAATGCTATTAAAAGTGTAAATAATGTAATGAATTCTAATCATGGTCTCTCTCTTTTTTTTTTTTTTTTTTGTCTGAGAGTACACTGAAATGAACTGCTAGATTCATAATTTGAAAAAAAATACATTTTAGATAGATGTATGAGAATAAGGCCTTGTTTTGAAGTGCAAGATGAAGTTTAGAGAGAGGACTTTAATGTTTTGGGTTTTTTCATCCCGAAGAAGGAGTATCGATCTCTTTTTTCCATCTCTTTAAACTTCGGACTAGTGAGTTGGGAGAAGAGGAGGAAGTTCTTGCAAGTATGACTTTTAATTTATATTACAATAGAGAGATGAGCCCTCTGTGTTTTGGGCAAGACGTGTGAGTGTATGGAGTGCCACAGTGTACTGGAATAACATATTGCACAGGATTAAACAATTCAAGAATAATGGCTCATACAGTGGTAATTTATTTCTTGTTGGTCTATCTAGGAAACAATTTGTTATTTCTTTCTTGCAAGAGCCTTAAACCAGAACACGTAAGATAAGCAATTAAAAACCTGAAAATAAAAGCATGCAGATGTTTCTGTTCAGTGTCTGATTTGTCAAGCTGATAAGCTTTTACTGCATCATATCTTGATGGAGTGGAGCTGCAGCTGCAAAGCCACTCTGGTAGCTACGTGGCACACTGCAGCTA